GATGTATAGGAGGGGGGGGGGGGGGTAGTGTGTTCAGCACAATGCCCAGCCGCTGTTACTTTGCCTAACGCTAATCAGTGGAGTGGCGTGGTCTATCGGCAGAACGCACGCTTGACGCCCTGGATGTCCCGGCTTCTTTACTTTTTATTATATTCATGCAAGAAAACGCTGGCTTGTATGAATATGTTGACCCGAAGATCGTCAGCACTCCAGATAACAACTTCGTCACCTCACTTTACTATCCTGGGGGACTATTCCATGCGTCTCATATTAGTGCCTCAACTCGCAGCATATCTTTTAGAGTCGTCCTTTTGTGCAGCGTAACGTGCATGTTTTACTGGACCTCCAATTCTCCTAACTTGCACGTGATTTCCGTGAACTTACCGAGAATTTAGTATGGGAGAATTTAGTGTGAGAGAATTTAGTGTGAGAGAATTTAGTGTGGGAGAATTTAGTGTGGGAGAATTTAGTGTGGGAGAATTTAGTGTGCGAGAATTTAGTGTGAAAAAAATTAATGTGGGATAATTTAATGTGGGAGAATTTAGTGTGAAGGAATTTAGTGTAGGATAATTTAGTGTGGGATATTCGTTGTGGGAGAATTTAGTGCGGGAGAATTAATGTGGGAAAATTAAATCTGGGAGAATTTAGTGGAGAATTTAGTGCGGCGGAATTTAGTTTGGGATATTTCATTCTGGGAGAATTTAGTGTGGGAGAATTTAGTGTGGAAGAATTTATTTACTTACTTAATCCTCATCACTCCCTGTTGAGTATAGGCCAGCAACAAATCTCCGCCATTCCACTCTGTCTTGGGCGAGCCACTTTAGTTCATGCCAGGCCTTGCCAGTAGCTTGCACTTCTTCTTCCATTTCTCTCCTCCATATTCCCAGTGGTTTTTCTCTCTTTTGCTTCCCAGGCGGGTTCCACTTCAGCGCCATGTTGGGGAGTTTTCTTTTGCTCATGCGTAGGACATGGCCCAGCCATCTCCGTCTCTTCATTCGAACTTCTGAAATATTGTCGTTTAATCCTGTCATTTGCCATATTTCCTTGTTCGGGACTTTGTCGTCCCACTTTATTCTGAGGATACGTTGGAGGGATCTTCTTTCAAAGCCGCTGAGTCGGCTCTCTCCTTTCTTGTTTAATTTCCATGACTCTGCAGCATAGAGGAGTACAGAACGTACATTAGACTTGTAGATCCTTATTTTAGTTCTCTGCTGCAGTGAGGATGATTTCCAAAAGAATTTAGTGAGCGATAATTTATTAGTGTCGGAGAATTTAGTTGGGCAGAATTTAGTGTCGGCAAAATCATTGTGTTGCGTTGTGGTGTATGCAATGCAAATGATTTGCATTGGTCTGTTTACAATTATATCTACTGTTGGTGTGAGGGGGTTTAGCGTGGGTATGTTAGTTGAGTGGGGGTTTTATGTATCAGTAGGGGTGTGTTTGTTGTTTTTTTTTGTTGTTACGTTCTGGGTTCATTTCAAATCAACAACAACACTTCGTGTATCACTTCACTACTTTTATTCGTCTCAATGCATTCAAGCGTACCAGAACAGCCCTCGTCCTAACCGCTACTAACCCGCTGACTGCCCCCCACAATCGTTCACTCCCCCTTTTATACCCGCATTCGACCTTGGGATTACAAGACATAAACACACAAGGGTAACTACACAGTAAGGTGAACTACACTCACACAGGCACTCTCCCCTAGTTCTAGACTATTCTAACCTATTCTAAACTAACCTACAACTGGCCCGTAACAGGGATTAATGGACGCATGTTGTGTGCGTGGGTGGGATAAGGGGACGCATGTTGTGTGTGGTGGGATTAGTGGGATTAGTGGACGTATTTTGTGTGTGTGGGATTAGTGGACGCATTGTGTGTAGTGGGATTAGTGGACGCATGTTGTGTGTGGCGGGATTAGTGGACGCATGTTGTGTGTGGTGGGATTAGTGGACGCATTGTGTGTAGTGGGATTAGTGGACGCATGTTGTGTGTGGCGGGATTAGTGGACGCATGTTGTGTGTGTGGGATTAGTGGACGCATGTTGTGTGTGTGTGTGTTCGGGATTAATTCATGTGTGGATCAGAGAGGCTCCCCCCACCTTTGCCTACCGCGAACGAAATAGATTTATATAGAAAGTATATACTTTTACCAGTTACCCCTCCCACCCCCCCCCCCCCGACACCCTAGGAGAAAAAGTCTGAAATAAACATAGTGTGATTGACTCTTTTATAATACACAAAAGGAAAAAGAAAGCGCATGTATTCTGTCCAGACATCCGGTGTATATTTCTTTAATCTTTCTCGCGGGTCAGAGTTGTTGCCCTTCAGGGTGTGGTCTATAATTAACCTTTGGATCATCTCTCTATTTATATAATTATCTTCGTGAGACCATGCGAGACACCACGTAAACGCACACCGTTACTCCCCCGCTCTCTAGGCATATAGCTAAACCTCCACCAGTCTGTTGAGCTGTGGTTCACTCTAAATGTTTACAATCGTTGAGCCGGGATATTTTAGTTTAGAAACTAAGAGGAGGTAATAACAAGTTCTGCTTGATCTTTTCATTGTCGTCTGTGAGGAGAAGTACCAGGTGTCAGCTCTGCCATAATTGATTAGAATAATTTGATGATTGCTGATAGGCTGTCTTATTATATGGCCTCGCAGGTTTGGTTGGCCTCTTGGGGTGATGAGTACTTTCACTGTTGGTGTTTCAACTGGATGGGGGTCTGGACATTCTTCCTGTGGTAGATCAGGGGTTGCTGTTGTTGACTTGGCTGCAAGGGGTGGGGCCCAGGATTTCATGGAGCCACCCGAGCCGTGGTCCGGGTTTGTCGTGGACTTAAATAGCAAATACAAAATCGTAGCAATAAGGAATGCCATCGGAGCGATACTTCAGTAAATACGTAGATATTTTTTAATTTTTTTTTAGATTTAATAGATTTCCTTCCACACAGTTCACTCCCTTCCAGCCAGGAGCTAGCTGTGTTGATAGGTTGTATTTTAGAAATATACATGTAATACATAGTAATGCATACAATTTGTACAGTATTCTTTTCTTGATTTTCCTTCCGTTTTCTTTGTTTTCATTTTTCGTGATCTTCTGATTTCTTGTTTTTATTTCCGTTTTCATGGTTCCTTTGATATAACATAAAGTACAGTACAATACATGATCGCTTCTCGTAAGTCTTGGCCTTGTTTCTTTCGTGTATTACAATCTTGGTTGGGCAGTGGTTGATTCTTGGTTGGTAGTTGTAGTTTGAGAGTATCGATGAGGGATGATGTGTTGGTGAAAGGGCGAGTCTCGCGTGTTGTCGTTGATGGTAGAGTTGTTCGAATGGAGTGAAGCTTGGAGAGAATAGTTGAGGTGGTGTCCTTGTGTTGAGATAACGTTTATAGTAGGTTGCTTTGAATTATTGGTCATTGTAGTTTGAAAGAGAGTAAAATTGTGTCGTAGGGTATTCTTGCATAGTCGAATAGTTGAAATGGGCGAAATGATGTTGAAGAACGTTTAGTTTTCGTGATATTGTTGTGTCGAGGATTGTGGATCAGAAGAATTTGAGAGTGGTGAAGAAGTCGAAAGCTTGGTCGAGTAGTTGAAATGGGCGAAGTGAGGCTGTTGACGAGTGTTTATTTTACGAGAGTTGAGTACTCGTGAAGTTGTTTGAGTAGTTGGTCTTTGAGGGATGTCGAGTTGACTTGATGGTGGTTGTGACGGAGCCTCCCACCTAAGATTTCTCTTAGGTGGGTGTCGTCAGAGTAATCGTGAAGTTGTTGATATCGAACTAATTGTGTATCGTAGATGAGAGAGTTTTGAGTAGTAAATCTTTGAGATATGTTAAATTGATTAGCCGGTATTTGTGCCCAAAGTCTAAATACGCAGATATTTTTTTTATTATTTTGTTTTGTGTTTAATATATATATATATATATATATATATATATATATATATATATATATATATATATATATATATATATATATATATAAATGCTTTTATTTTCAATAAAACAATTAACAAAATATTTAACCATCACAGTAGTTAAATTAATAATAATAAATTACATTTTAGAGAGGTGATTCGTGTATGAATAAAGGATGTATGACATAAAAATAGAAGGAGCGTGTCTTGTTTGACAGCCTCACGGTTTATACAATAATACAAATACAAAACCAAATAAACCAAATAAACACAGGAGATCAGTTAGTAATAATACATTTCATGAATGAATAACATATGTTTGAAATAAAAGGAGCTTGTCTTGTTTGACAGCCTCAGAGTTAATGCAATAATACAAATACAAAACCGAAATGCTTTACATTTTTATAGTGATATATCTTGCTGCTAGCAATAAAAGAAATTGCCGTGTATAGAAACTTCAATAAATAGTGGAATTACACTACTTTCAAAAACCAGGGTTTAACAACCTGCTAAATTCTGCCACAGAGTTACATGGATGAACAAATTTGAAAGAAAAAAAAAACAGTACAGTGGTGGGGTGGGGCGAGGTGGGTGGGGTTGGTTGGGTAAGGTGGGCCAGGCAGCGAATCGTTGTTGCGTGACATGACTGCTGAGGGTCTGGGGCGGGTCGCGCTGGTTGAAGGGACATGGGGAGAATGAAGGTTTGGGCGAGCCAGGAGTAATAGTATTTTTTTTTTATTTCATTTTTTTTTTATATATATATATATATATATATATTTTTCTTTTGAGAACAGGGTTTATTTCAGTTTAAATGCATTAAACAATAAATACAAAACAATGCAACCAGATCAATGTGAATGTTTTGAAAATAACCAACCACAAGCTTTAAAGATACTATTTTTTGACTTGTAATACTTGAATTTAAAATCAATCAAAATTATGAATTTTTTTTTTTTTTTTTTTAAATGAGGAAATATTTATTAAAATCTAAGATTGTGCATGCAGAATACAGATTAAAAAGTTAATAAAAATTGTCCTTAGCATACTTTTATAGAACAAATCACACTTATAGCAAAATGGTGAAGCTTTTTTTGCCAAGTTTAATTGGAATTAAATCTCTCTGAAAGATGGAAAACATCAACGATAAGTTGTAAATATTATAAACATTTTTTCAGACAACCAAGCATGCTCACAAGTTAGCTACAATATTTGGTTTAATGCAGTTTAAATAAAGCTAAAAGTTTATGTACACAGTATAAGTAGAGATTAAAAGAAAATAAAACATTAAAGCGACTTAGAGGCTTGACTTAGAGAATACATCACAAGTATCTTGATAGCTTTGAGATAAGAATTTTGTCATCTTTTTAAAAAAATATATAATTGATTATGAGATGTTCACAGACTCATACTCAGAAAGATTAAAGAATACACAATTTTTAAACAAAATCTGTTTCAAAAAGAAACAATTAACTAAATATAGTTTGTAAACTGGAGCAATAAAAAAAAACATATTAAAAAATTTTAAAAATCACTTTTAAGGATTAAGTACATTCATCTCTTTAAAATCATTAGTTTTCCATTCCTACTTATCAAAGGGAAAATTCAACCTTTAGATTCAACTGGAAGCTTGACAAACATGTGATGAATCCTCTGTTGCTACTATTAGCTTTGTTCATGTTGTTGTATGTCTATGAGAAGAAACTCCTTATCAGGCGCGCACATGATCTCATTCCTACGGGAACGAATGCGCAAGAACTTGAGGTCATTAGAAGGGTCAATATCTCTTACAGTGCTGCGTGCCTTTGCAGTCAAACTATGAATAAGACTAGCATATTGCACAGTGGTGGAATTGTCCAGAGTTGTTTTAATGGGAATACCTTCACTGTTGACAACTATGGTCCCAGTAACACCCCTGTGTGACTGTATTCTTTTAAGTGTCTCTTCAACTTCTGCAGCCATTCTGTTCTGTCTGTTATACATGAATAAAATAATAGTCGACGTACGAAGTGCAATTCCAACAAATCCTAATAATCTTCTCGATATTAATGTTACAGCTGGTTGATACTAGTGACTGCTATTTATTAGATTAATAACTCACAATTACAAGGAGTTGTAATTAAAATTTTGTAATTAATCACCTAATAATTTAATAAAATTTTTGATATTTTTTTTTCTATAAATAATACTGATGTTTGTTTACTTGTTTTTGTTTTGAAATGTATTACAACTTGTTTTCTTCTTTTTATCGTTTAATTTTATAATTACCTCCCATTAAAAGAACTCAATGTTTGTTCTCTCCCTTAACAAAAAAGTTCCACGCGCGAGATATTTTGACTCAAACAAAAGACGAGCAAACTGCTGTGAACTGTTTTACACCTTGGTGCACTCTCGGGACGAACACTAATAATCTGTGTCAGCGTTTAGTTCCATGTGGGGTGGGGGGGGGGGGGGGGGGTTTGAGACTTTTTTTGTATCGAGTTTAGATTTGGGAGATTTTTAGTTTTGGAGAATTCATTGTGTGAGAATTTAGTTTAGTTTGGGGGAATTTAGTGAGGGAGAATTTAGTGCGGGACATTAAGTATACGTGTCAACTGGTTATGAGACATACGATACTGCGTCACAATTGTACCATGATACGATACTGAACAACGATACGATACTGTATCACGATACGATACTGCACCACGATACGATACTGCACCACGATACGATACTGCACCACGATACGATACTACATTACCTACTGACATACAAGTACTAAACATTTCAGCCCGCTGGTGAAATGGGAAAGTCAGGATTGTTTAAATTTAAAGGAACAAAAGTTGAATTCAGTTCACAGACAGTGTGTTGTCTTTATAGGTCGCGAGAAAAACAGCAAGTCAGACAGATATTGTCTTCGTGCAAGCTGCTGTCCTCAATGTATGTCCTGTTATCTAACTGTTGTCCTTTGTGACTGCTGAGCTAAGCTTATGTCCTTTTTGATGTCCTCAATATGTGTTTTACTAACTAGCTAATGTCCTCAATTCATGTCCTGCTATTTGACACCAGAACTAAATTTATGTCCCACTGATGTCCTGAAATAATGTCTTGTCATCTAACTGATGTCCTCAACCACTGTACAACAATGTAACTGCTTATAGCTGTTGCTTTAAGAGGGGGAGGCGCCGGTAAAAACAACATTTTTAACACTAGTTAGAAAATAATTATTTCTCTATAGCTTTTTAATGTACATCTGCATATGCGTTTCCATTAAAAACAGCTGATGGGAAAATCTTGGTAACTATGACAACGGCGGACATCTTAACATATTAACCTATTCTTAGGATTTCCAGCATTTATAAAGTATTATATTTTAAGCCCATAAAGAATGAATTCACAATCTTCTACCATATTTTGGGGTACTCAGCTACATATTTTAAGTGCAGATCTTAAAACTAATTTCTTATTAATTTTCAAACTTTGGGTTCTGGTAAAAACACTAAATTTTTGGGGAATTTGGGGTGTTAAATGTAATGTTTCTAACGGACCAACAGTGTACCTTTAAAAAGCTGTAGAGTAAAAAGTTTTTTGATATCTAGTATTAAAAAGATTTTTTTTTTAACCGGAGCCTACCTCCTTAATTCCATGTCTCTAATGAAGTCCTCCTACTCCGTGTAATTGCTGTCCGTCCACAGATGATAAAATAAAGTCAAACAAGAATAAACTTTCTGACGGGTACTTGACAACACATTTCTCCACGTATAAACTTAAACAATGGCTTTATCTACTTCAACATAAACGTTTTTTCTATAATTTAAGAAATGATTGAATCAAACTTTTTTGAGTATTTTTTTTTCTAATATTTCATGTTGAAAGATTTTGTTTAAAAAATGAAAATTCGGAGCTTAGACGCATCTTCCAGTGTTAAATTTCAATGGAATAAAAAACGTGTCTTATCGTTCAAACATACTTTAAATCAATAGGATGAAGAAAATGTTATTCCGCTAGGTCGGGTGGCTTATATTTTATTTGGAGCTTGTTTGACGATGGGTTGAGATCAAAGTGAGAGAAAAATCTACTGGTATTGTCTACATAATATAAGGGACTGAATAATATCGAGAATTATGTCATTTTTTTTTTACCGTAATTGCTTTTAAATCTAATTAATGCAGATTTATTTGACATCATCGCGTTGTGTTTGAAATAGGTGAGTAAATATGACGTCATCGCTTGTTGGGAAGTGATTTGCTCAAGAAAAAAATTATGAGACGGCATGGCCGAGTGGTAGGACAATTGACTGTTAGCCAGAAAGTCTCAAGTTCGCTTCTCGGTTCGGTCTAGTGAATGTAGAACGTCCCTGAGTCTACCCAACTCTGATGGGTACCTGACTCACGTTAGGTTTACCAAGGCGGGTGGACAAAATGTTGACGACACTATCTTGTAATTATTTAGAAGTCATAGAAACAGATAAACTCTACTTCATCAGCCCTAGAGATCGGTCGTTCTGAAAAAAAAACGGGAACTTTTTTTTTATCTTTTCAAGAAAAAATAATTTAAACGGACTATTTTTAATATAACCATTGAATTTAGCTATGTTTCAAAATTAGTTGTCTATATAGTTTAAATAAATATAATATTTAGTAGCCGACCTAAACGTTTTCAACCGGACAAACCTACATGAAATTCATCATCATCGTCATTTTCCGTTAGTGCCCAAGACGCATGGAGTAGTCGAAGTAGAGTTCGTCTGATACAGCAGTATGCCCAATCACCTTAATTTCACTAACGTAAATTAGATGCCGATCAGAGTTGGGTGATCTCTGGGACGTTCTACTAACTTAAACCCGGATTTGAACTCGTGATTCTCAGGTTAGCAGTCTAGCTCTCTAACGCTTGGCCACGCCCTCCTATACACGAAATTCGTCACCCATAAACTAAAAACCCTACCCCAACCAAACTTAGATTTTTACCACGTCGTGTACAGTGGATTTCTTAAAGTTTTTCTAAGTTTGGATTTCTTGATATCAACTTTTTTCTACACTGCGTGGGAAGAAATCCAACACATTATTGACATGTAAATATTTATAACATCACTCCACGGAACATCCTCATTATTTAGTTGTTGGTATAAACTAGTTACCGAGTTCTAAAAGCAAAGTTAAGCTCTCTCAAATTTTAAAACGTCGATTTTAAAGACGTGTAAAGACGCCAGCCTCGTCCCTCTGTGTTTCATGTTTCCAGATCAAGTCTTCAATGTCTGGAATTACAACGTCACTTTCTCCCATTTAGAAAAGCCCACTTAGCCTATTCCGTGGCGTGATGACAAGGGGCTTTTGGACATAATTTCTCCATCAGGTAGAAAACAGCCACGGGGCGTTTGTCGGATTCGGTTTTAATAGTTTGCCCTCGGTTTGACTTTATTAGGGCGCGGTGTCGTGGACGAGTTCTCGATTTGTGGGAGAAGTTGTCTGCCCTTGTGGAGGTAGAGATGTCGGTCATTTGATGTGGGAGAATTTTCGTCCCTTGTGGAGGTAGAGTTGTCGGTCTTTATTGTGAGAAAACTGTCGCCCCTTGTTTCTGGTTTATAGCAAAGCTGTTTTCATTCTTGGTTTAATACTCAATTATTTTTTTTTTTAATAAGCCGCGAAAGCTGACTTTGAGTTGTTGCTTTTTTTGTTTCGTTTGTTTTTAAAAAAAAAAGCTTCGGTGTTTTAAAGTTTTGGGATTAAAGTTGTCAGAGCGACATTCTTGGAAGGTTACTTTTTTTAAATATCCGTGGTTGTATTTTTTCCGTTGTTGTTTGATGACGAAGATTTTGTCGAAATCGTTTGTCACCTTTTTGCTCTCAAGTCTTAGTGTCACGTTTTAATAATTGTAAATTACAAAATTAACAGAACTAAAAAATAAAGTGACATTTTTATAAAAAGTTTATAGTTTTTTTTGTTTTTTTTTACGAAAGAAAAACGTATCGTATTTAAAAAAGCAAAGAAATTTGAGATTTAAAAAAAAAGTTAAGTACGCGACTGTGGGGCTTTAAAATTATATTCTGACCACTTTTAGAATATTGAATAAAAATCACTTAAGAATTAAGTTTAAGAATGGCGTACCACGAAAGATGGCAATTTTAGCATGTAGAGCAACGATCATTCGGGTGCCTCAAAATTCTGTATACCACTAGATTTTGTTTACCCCTAAAGTACTTTACCCCTAAAGGCCGCTTACCCCAAACTTCCCTTTATCCCTAACTTTCCTTTATCCCTAACTTCCATTTATCCCTAACTTCCCTTTATCCCTAACTTCCCTTTATACCTAAACACCGCTTATCCCTAACTTCCCTTTATCCCTAAACACCGCTTATCCCTAACTTCCCTTTATTCCTAACTTCCCTTTATCCCTAACTTCCCTTTATCCCTAACTTCCCTTTATCCCTAACTTCCCTTTATCCCTAACTTCCCTTTATCCCTAACTTCCCTATATCCCTAACTTCCCTTTATCCCTAACTTCCCTTTATCCCTAACTGCCCTTTATCGCTAACTTCCCTTTATCCCTAACTTCCCTTTATCCCTAACTTCCCTTTATCCCTAACTTCCCTTTATCCCTAACTTCCCTTTATCCCTAACTTCCCTTTATCCCTAACTTCCCTTTATCCCTAACTTCCCTTTATCCCTAACTTCCCTTTATCCCTAACTTCCCTTTATCCCTTACTTCCCTTTATCCCTAACTTCCCTTTATCCCTAACTTCCGTTTATCCTTAACTTCCCTTTATCCCTAACTTCCCTTTATCCCTAACTTCCCTTTATCCCTAACTTCCCTTTATCCCTAACTTCCCTTTATCCCTAACTTCCCTTTATCCCCAACTTCCCTTTATCGCTAACTTACCTTTATCCCTAACTTCCCTTTATCCCTAACTTCCCTTTACCCCTAACTTACCTTTATCCCTAACTTCCCTTTATCGCTAACTTACCTTTATCCCTAACTTCCCTTTATCCCT